TATTTTAGCCATCACATTTATCTCGCGATGGAGCATGTGATTCAACAGTTTGATTTACATTCAAACTCTGAATCTTTCGAAGATAACATGGAAAGTTTTGAACTCTGGAGTATGACCAAGAAATATGTTAGGGATGATAAAACTGTGGCTATTTAATTACATTCATCGGAAAGGATGCCAACAACTTACTAAGAGCTTTAGCATTCCCAGAAAAGCCTATTTCATTTCCCTACAGAATTCATGAACTACTATAAAATCACGCGAAGTGTACTTCAGACTCTGTGAAAGAGTGAAGTTTCACAAAGCGATTCGTCAGGACATCAAGAATTCTACTACATTACTTAGTTATCTCAATCCATTGCGTGCTCACTGTCATGCAGATAACAATTCATTGAGGAGTTGCGAAGCAAGTTACAGAGGTGAACACATGTTTGATAAATGCTTACCCTGAGGTAACTTTCACTCGTGTAAATCATGTGCATTTCGTCATTTCAAATATTTAAATGTGGTGAATTAGAACATGTCCAGCCGGTCTGTAGAGCTATTGTTCGTTTTGTCACGTATGATGATAAACTCTGTAATTTGGATTTTACTTAGCTGGGTGTTTCTAATGATCATTTATATTTATTCAAGGTTTCGGAAGGCAGTAACTATATTCAGAAGGGATTATATATCTCCCTTGATTCATTCCATGACAGATGGACTACTATTCTTGATCATAAGGGGAAGGTTGACTTTATTTACCTTAGTTTCTTGAAAGCTTGTGATAGGGCCAACCATATATATGTCTTGTCAATAGGCTCAAATGATCAGGTATCAAATCGCTTTTAATTTATTGGTTTACTTAATATCCAAGAAATTGACATTATAAGATCAGGGTTAACTTAACCTTCTCTCAGGCTATGGAGTGTTCTAGTAGAGTACCACAGGGTTCAGTACTAAAACCTCTTCTTTTCTTGATTTATATAAACGATCTTCTACAACAAGTCTCGTCCGACTTATTGCTTTTTGCTGATGATATGGAACTTTGGAGAGAGATACTCAACCAAGGGGATATATTGGCACATCAGGAGGATCTGACTCGACATCAAAGTTGGGCAGATGACAATGAACTTACCTTTAGCACTTCGCAATTTTAAGCAGTTCATCTGAGACACGTTGAAAACTACGGCCACAACATAGAAAACTGCACGCTAGAGGTATCCCAAGATGAAAAATATTTAGGAGTTCTGGTACTCTACCACATGAAGTCTTACGTTAACTGTGACAAAAATGCTTTTCGAGTAAGCCTTGGATTGGTAACACTGAAGTGCATTTTTGGCCAGTTTGACCTTAAAACTTTCTACTTGATCTTCCACAGTTTCATTCGTCCCCATTTAGAGTACGAAAACATAGTATTTCCTCCCTCACTCAGAGAGGATAAGGACACTCTGGAGTGTATCCAACGGCGATCTACAAAATCAGTTCGAGGCCTCAAATTCAAGCCTTATGAAGAGCGCCTTCAATCACCAAACCTCTAACCGTTAGAGTACAGGAGTCTTAGAGGTGACCTTCTAATGGCTCACAGCATCCTAAATACTGCTGGAGACCCCATTAAACACCTACTTAACTTTAACTCCAACACAAACCTAAGGGGTAAAACCTGGAAACTGGAGACACAACACAGCAGAATGGATTGTAGACACACCTTTTGCTCCATAAGAGTTGTCAAATGCTGGATTTCGCCGCCGGCTGAGGAGTCCTTTAAAAGGAATCATGATATATTCTTAAGGATTAAGGATTGTGTCCTACAGATTCCTTTTTCCTTTTTTATCGTTAACATACCTAGGTTCCTGCCTGGAGGTATTGGTGATCCATTGCTACTAGATTCGGAAGCCTTTTAAGCAAAAGCTTCTTCTATTCCGTCCACAACTCTTTGAAGCATTTCCGCTTGTTCCATATTTCCCGGTCCTTGCTGCAAAGAAACGTTGGTCACTTGCTACTAGACAACGAGGTTCACCAGTTTGAATCTTGTCTTGTTTAGCTCGCAACAATCTGTCTATAAATGTCATGTCTTTAAAGACATGGATTATACATTGTAATCTGAAACCCATGGCAATTATTTATAATTGTTCGTTACGGTACGAAATAAGCTGTTGTCGGTACTGTTCGTAACTTTGTTTGTTTTTCGGATAATTAATCCATATATCTTCACATTTACTATATCCGAAACTTAAAAACACCTCGTCCATATCTTCTTCTACCATCTCAATGCTTTAGTTTAGTGGCATGATACCCTCTAATAATCCCAATTAAACTGAATGGGAATGAAAGACGAATTTCGGGGAAAAAGGCGTGACATTGGATGACGAAAATTCGGAAATAATTCATGTGAAATTGCAACTTAAGTCGCCTTTTTCGCCCACTCTGAAGAAATAATAAAACATATAGGGAAATATTTCCTTAAAATGTCCACCATGAGGCGAGAAATCTATAAGTTCACACTTTATTGATCTCTGAATAGTCTACTTTTCGCTAAAATTTAAGCCATATTGTCTCACTTTCGCCTGACTCCACTCAAACTCCAGATATCTCCTGCACTTGCGAGATATATATGTTCCAATTGTAGCCTGAATATTCTCGGATTTTGCCTTCGCTTCTTTGTGAAAATGGATATCACTAAGAATGCTCATTAGCACATAATATCAAATCTATTTCGATCCTTGGTATTCAGAAGGAATAACATAAGCATAAAGACCCGTATTACAGCGGTACGTGTCCATACTAACCGGTGAGTCCTATTACCATCACTGTACATCTGGAAAAGAAAAATACCTTGTCGGTTTGTGAACATTTTCGGTGTAGCAGATGACAGATAAAAAATCACACGTTACATAATTAATTTGTTAAAAGAGATGCAAAATAAACACTAGGTTCGGCCTCCCTTATAGACATGTCATTACCAGATATCTACGTGTGCTCATGACTAATCACTGGGCACATAAATATACCTTTATCACTAGATGGGAAGAGTTGTAAGACGAAACCCGAAAAGCCTGCACGGGTCTTAACTTATGTATTCCATTTTCACTGACATCAGTTTTGGTTGTCATCGAACAATCGCTACATTATCTGGCCTAATTGTTAACGTAGTATTTCTGTGTGACAAACTTTTCTGGGGTCATAAGGAAGAATGTCTTGGGTGGTGGATAGACAAATACTATCTTGAAGCCTACTTGAGGTGTTCACGTCCGTAATACCATTTGTATTCTATTATTATTCAACTCCGTTCTGACAAAATCTTCTGATTGTTTATAGAACTTAGGATGAGACAAAAAATAGGTTGAAAATGCTAGCCGTTTAAAATTTAGATAAGGAGGTTGTGGTAAAACATTTTTAGGAATTACGGGTTCCCAAATACCTTGATACGGCCGAGGGTGGGGAGAGTCAGTTCTCCCACTCGAAATGCTCTCTCTGGTTTTCATTTTGTTCGATTCAACTTCAGACCTGCGCACGTTTTTATTGGATCTTAAGTTTGTTACATCTTTTTCATCTCACTACTATATGTTATTATTCACATCAGTACTGTGGTTATCAACAATTCGAGCATTCATTTAATTTATCTAGAATTTTCTTATGTTCTTTTATATTCTTTTGTTGTGTCCTTTGCATTTCGATATCACCTACATAAAATAAAATCAAAGATATTAGGTAAGTAGTTGCGACATTCTATATAGAATAGAACCACTGGTCCTGAAAAGTTCCTCATGGTGGTCTTCAACTAGGCATCTTGGACCCCACCGATTTTTTCTGTCGTCGTCCAGTTAGAAAATATGTCATCCGTCGAAGTAGACTGCTTCTTATTTTGTTTTATTTGAACACATAAATTTTGGTACAAGAAGGCACCAAATATATATGCGCCACACAAAACAATGAGAATGGGAAGAGAAAAAGGTAAGGAGTATATAAGAAAAAAAGAACAATAACGACCATAGATTAGCGTTAGGTAGTGTAATAATAATAATAATAATAATAATATAATATAATAATAATGGGGGAAACGGAAAGGTACAACAAAAAAATTCTTTCAGTTAAGGAAGATACAACCACTTTTTATGAAGAAAGTAAAAGGTTACAGCAGGATCACCACTGGCTTCTATTCTGAGCCATATCTGGTAACGTCTCTACCCACTGTGTTGCACCATCCCTCGGACCCCAACCAGGGAATCGTGAAGGACCAACAGAAGCCAGTCCTTTGCAACTTTCTTTCATACCACGACATCATGTCATACACTGACTACCTCTCCGCTTTTTCCAATCAGTCCCGGCGTCCGCAAATAATGACTGATTCTTGTACCAATTCTCTTAAATTTAAATAACAAATAGACCCGGGTCAGGTTTAATTGACTGAATCGTCACCAACAATCGTCTTTGTCTCATGAAGCTAAATGATTTAACCGGAGTAAGAAGTGGTTGACACGAAAAGAGAAGTACTGACTTACGATCTCAGGAAGATCGTTACGTAGGTCCAATACAATATGAGTCCTTTCACTACCTAGATAATTCAAATGAAATGAGTCCAATAGATTTTTAATACCAAATTGGAATTCGAATGCACAGATCGGATATCTAGGAACATTATTAAGCATCTTAAATGTCCTATGGGAATTCAACAGTTACAGATTTCTTAAATTGCTTACATGAAGACACCTTTACACAGATAGTTATACACATCTTGAGCTCGTTTTTATTGCCGCTGTTCGTATTTTCCGAGTCTTTCAGCTACTTTTTTATTTTTTTGGTATTTGTAGGACCCCGAGGGAGGGACATACCTGGCCCCTATACAGAGTCTACCCCCAAAAACACTGGTTTGGGACACAAAGACCTTTATTATTCTTTCTACACAAAGATTTTCTGATCGAATACATTTATCAAAAGTATTCAAACACAGATAATAACGTGGTTCTCATTATATTGGGGTCAGTCATAGTTGAACTCAAGCGGTCCTTTGTTACAAGCCAATGTTAAGTGCTAAACTACGCTGTAAGTTAATCTTCATATTAAACGTATATTTAGTAGTTCTACGTGGATTGGCTCCCGTCAGCTTTGATGACTCGATTCTCCAATGTTCTACCTTACAAAATAAGTATGAAGTACCGAAAAATCTCCAGTCAAATTTTGTTGCCTCAGAAAAATTATATTCTCGACATTTGCTACACGTAACCTGCTTTTCACTTTTTAACAATTTTAGTTACAGGAAGCATATCTCAATAGATTTCCATTCACTATTGCTAATCCCGCTGTTACCGAATTAGTCTCTTGTAAGGGCTCTACTTTCGTGTGTCGTAACAAGCCCATAGAAACAAAAAATCAAAGTTGTCAGACTGAAACACTTGATACCGAAACAAACTTAGAAGCTTTATCTACAAAAGTAGATCAAATCTTTCACAAGTTAAACTGTGTAAGTACTGTATTATTAATATTATTTAATGCTTTGTTTTATTTTAGCTACATAAGTGATGCTTTTCGGCATGTCGTTGAACATAAATTTGCAAATTTATCTATTTATTTGGAAGCTAGCGTAACCTTAATAAATTCTCGTCTACAATTAATTGGATTTTTCTTTAAATATTTTACACAAGTGAACAATAGCACTTCTTGAATGTTTGCAATTTTGTAAACAACTCAGTTTAATGATCATGGAATCCATAAACTCATTTTCTTCATATTATGCTTTCACTTTTTTACAACTTTTGTTGTACATCAAAATCACTTAGTAGTAAAGGTCGCGTGATATCATAGCTGTCGTTCCTTATTGAAGTAGAGTATCTTGCGAAGACAATTGTCTAGAATCAAAATGTTCTTGCTATTTATACAAGTGGTCTTATACGCAAAGCAACTGTTTTGTTTAGAACCAATAATTGCTTTAATGAGTTCTTTCAATATATTATCTACTCACGATTTCGCCGACGGTATTTAGTTCTATTAATAAATATTTTCTGTATCTAATTTACTCATCTGTTTTTGTTTCTGTACAGCATGCACTGAAATCTATTTCAGAAAGCAAGATAAAACACTTCCCCAAATTGTGGTTGGATTTAGGGGAATTAAACTATTCACCAGCGCAGTATAATCTAGGCGTATGGTACGAAAAGCAAGCATCTGAGTGCCTGTCTCTTCAGGATGGTCTGAAGCGACATTATAACAAACAAGCGGGTCATTGGTACAGTTGTGCTGTTCGAGGAGATTCCCATCCACTGGCTGCCTATAATTTAGCATGTCTTATTCTGGATTCTGAAGAACCCATAATCCATTCGAACTCGTCAGATAAACCTTCCACATTTACAGTCACAAATCTAATGAAACTGGCTGCTGATGGTAATGTCAAACGGTTAGTCACTTTTTTTATCACAAGCTTATATACTCAGCATAAGGACTCGCTGTTACAGCATGTACTTTATTGTCATGATTCTAGTTTACAAATATTATCAGCCTTAATTCTTTAAAATTACTTCGGACTTTATTAGTTATTTTGTTTATGACCGTACATGCTTTCAAAAAGACATCCGCCAACTAAATCAAGTAAGATAACCCAAGATAAATCGATTTATATTGATCAGCATTTGGTTTTTGCGCCGTCTTCCTGAACCTAGTGATGAACAGATGGTCTAAATATTTATCCAGCTTACATATTTTCTCCATGATGAGCTATTTCCTCACATAAATTCTATTCAGTCAATTTTCATTTATTTCAAGGATACTGATGTACAAAGTATAAGATAAACTGGTAATTAGTGTTATAACTGAAATGGCGATCGTGATTGATGTGTTTTTTTTAACTCATCTATGTAAAAATTTAGTATTATTTTGAAATAAATGGATCATCTTCTTAGTTTCCAGGACTGGGTATTTTAAACTCCCACTAGTGCGTACACGTCCAACTATGCTAACATCCAGTAATAAAAATAAAATAGAGAACTATCGTATCTGGAATTTCGATTTTCCCTGATATGAACTGCTAGTTGATGGATAAGGTATTTTCCTACCCCAGATTTTGATTTATGCGATTACGTGATCCAAATCCCACTGTATATTTATTCCTGCCTTCAACCAATCAACGTGAATTACTCGACAGTTTTCTTGTGTTGAAATTTTAGGTTCTAATTTTTACCGGTGTAAACCACATTCACTTTTTAATCATCATCAAAACTGAGTCATATTATAGATCTTTTGGGAAACATTTTACCGGAGTAAAATGTTCATTATTTTGATAGATTTTATGTCCTTGCCAAATTATAAGAAACATTTCATTCTTTCTTTATTCAGGCAAAGAAATACTTATCGGAACAATGTATTACAAAAACATAGTTGATTGGTCGATCATTTGTAATTCTTATTTTTTTTCAATAGTTATATTATTTTGAAAGCATTTACTAAAAACTGCATTTCATGACAACTTTCTAACAATCGTCTTTTTACTTTAGTATTTTTCATATCCCTCATTATTACTTTGAAGTCTCAATAAAAGGCAACTGGAAGAAATTGTCTTATTTTTTCTGAATGGACATAGAGCATAATATAATTCTATGCCACAAAGCCAATATTAGTATTATTACTGTTTACCACTGCCATTGTTTATTAAGAGCAATTCATTTCGCATTATAATAATTTGGAAAGGGAGTTTTGAATACTTCAGTTATTACAGCCAACATTACAAATACGTTTGCGATTTAATTGACTGATAATGTATAAATGGATAGTGTTAGCAAAATACTGATAGTTCGAAAAAAGAAATGCTAGATTAGAAATTCCCGACGTCTTGACTTTAAAAACAATTTTTATAACTGGCAGTCAGAATTACCAATTCTTATATTTGATTACCAAGCTAAATATTTCATTTTCTGTCTATTCTGGTTCACCTATGGTCTGACCAGCAAATTAGGTTCTGTAATAACATCTTCAAACCCTAATCTTTCCGATTACTGCTTATACTCTTACTACCTCTACCACTATGGATTTGAATCGACACGTATCTCTGCTAATGTGGTATGGCAACTCGAACTGATGTACGTACGTACGAAGTTCTATGTTGTAGCTGACTGACTGTTTTGATAAATGTAGTTGTCGATTCAAATCCCGTAGTGGTAGAGGTAGTAAGAGTATAAGCAGTAATCGGGAAGATCAGGATTTCGATAAATGTATGCTCAACTTTTTGACCGTCAAATATCAGGGATATATTTCTTGGCAGTACGATACTTCTATAGATATTTGTTTTTATCGTTATGTAAGAGTTCACAATAACTGGATTTCCAAGCCATATCATACTGTTATATGATGTTACCTACTAGGTGCTTTTTCAGCACAGCCTATTATCCGTACTTGAGACAAATATTTAGTTCTGTGAGGATGCTTTGTGTTTTATTCATACTTTAGTCTAACTGATAGTTACTCAGATACTTCTGTTTGAATTTACCATTTCTATGAGATTAATTAAAAGTTACCAAGTGGGATGATATATATATATATATATATATATATATTTATATATATATATATATATATATATATATAACTATTTCCACGCTCGTCCCATTTGTCAAGTCAGCTGCTCTCCCAAGCTCCATAAAACAACGTTGTTATTCGTTGACTAGCTGTCGGTTCAATTATTCACATTCTTATAAACTTCGAAAAAGAATGTTCGATGACGCGAATCAATCCCAAGTTCTTGATCTTTATTTCTATAATGATAAAGAACTAACTCAATCAACATAAAAATATTTTTTTGTTGAATGAAAAGATCATAATTATCATGAATGTAGAAAGAAAGAAAGAGCCTAGTGTAATGAGAATTGATAATAAATCTAGGAAAAGTGAAGGGCAAATTGAACAAAATGTTAAGTAATATTAGTGTGTGTCCATTTTCTGATAAAGAATATAATATACCCTTACATAGAAAAGAATTCGCTCACTGGAATGAAAAAAAGACCAATAGCGAATAATGCAAAACAATACAGTAGGTTAACCACTATTAACATGTAAACAACGTAAATTATCACAGTTCCAAAAAGTTAAAAAAAAACATCAATATTTTCTGGTAATTGTATGATAAATCAACTGAAGTATTGACTGATTATCTTACATTCAGCAATTAATAAACATAGTACTGACTAGTTAGTTAGCTTATAAGTAAAAAAAATAAAAGATACATTCAAATTGCCTGGTGATGATAATCATTAAGGTACATGTTTAGTTTGAGTATCTGGACAATTCGTATCTGTATTTGTCGGAGTCTTCACATTCATACTTGTTTTGATATTATCCTCCAAGTTAGATGGTGGGAATTCTAGAAGTTCTATACCCTGTTGTACTTGAGTTAATGTCTGTTGCATCTAAAATTTAACGAAAAAATGTAAGTGCACAAAAGATTGATAGACAATTATGTAACTACTCAACAGCTGTACAATATATGAAGAAGATATATTTGAAATAATCTCAGCGATTGAAATTTAAATAATTCCAACGTTTCGTTCAGTAAATTTGCTGTAACCGACGAGACAAATTTGTCACCAAGACTTGTTCACATCACTGGTATATATATATATATATATATATATATATATATATATAGGATCGAAGTAATATTAATATTCTCTTACCTGTATAAGTGTTTTAGATAACAGGTGTATGAGATCTTTCATCACTTTTAATCGTGTTCTTGCCCATTCAGGTGATTTTGAAGCTAAATGATCCTTGTAAATTGGTATAGATCCTCGATCTTCTTGTGGTGATGTTCCAAACAGACATGAAAATGATTCCGATCATGAGCTGATAGAGGAGGAAATTGTTCTGCTAGTTTTTCTAAAACTACTAGCCGATTATATACCATTGATAAGAATAAGCAAAGTAATAAACCTCTGTGAAAGAGAAAACGCAACAAGGAAGATTCAATGACTGATTTCAGAAAATTGATGGTATAGAAATATATATAGTTTTGGGCGAAATGAAGTACCATTAAGTGTGGAAAAAATTATTGCTTTAAATCCCTATATTTAATCAGCCAGCCAAACCAATTTGAATACAATTTGAGAAAATGAACATCTTTTTCTGATTCATTGATTTCATAAAAGCAGTTTTGTTATCTCATCAAAATTAAAGTTGGTTCACTACTATGAATCCTTGTCCATTGCTTTGTAACCCCTGGATTTATAAGTACATCGGAATATGTTTCGAGTAGGTACAGTCATGTGAAGTGCAAATACAACAATCTGGCGATTGTCAATTCATGGGTATAATAGTTTCTACAAGGTATGATAACAAATCGACTTCAAAAGTCTAACGTAATGAAATACGCCTCACTCATTGAGTCCATAATGAAGTCACAAAAACTTATGCGGCTCTTTTAAATGAAGTATTCTGTGAACAGATGTATTCATTAATAAGAATGGTTGTATGTATGAGAAGGGAAACACCGAATACAGTAGATAGAAACTGACTTGAAATTGAAATATAGAGTAAAAGAGGTACAAGTTAATTTAGTTTATGATACAGGACTGATTAAATAGTCCTATAAGAAAAGATTATTAGTCGAATTATCTAAAAATAGTCTTTTTATTCGTTATATGTTTGAATATACACAATAATACTGAATTCTAATCAAATAAAGAATTTTCCACAACTGCTACAGGGGTTACATAGTTTTTTGATGTATCTACGATTCATTGAAACAACATAATGACAAACTTCTACCACTACATGTCTTCCATTCATGTGGCGTATTAGTCGATTCGGCCGTTTGAACAATGAATTAAGAAAATAAGTCTTCATATTGATTATCTGTCATACAGCAGTACGTCGTATCAAACAACCACTAAGTACATGTTCATGTACTCTTTTCAGTTACATTGTATAGGGATAGTGATGCGGTAAGGTTAGAACCCGTAACTTTTCTGCTTAAGAGATGAGTGTTTCAATCATTAATTTACTGCTCTATTCATTAGCTCATAAATAATTCGAATATTTTACTGATAAATGAGGAAAGAATCCCTGAGAACACAAGTAGGGACAATCGAATGTATGTGAACACAAAATTACAAAACGTCTGAGAACCATTCAGTAAATACTTAGTTTGCAAAATGTTAATTAATTGTCTCACATCTGACTGTTCTTTTTGCGAATATCAGTCAATCGTCTCAGACTTCATTCTTTCACACCAATCACTCTTTGTTTTCGTTCTCTTTTCTTTGGTATTCTGCCTCCAGACATTTCACTTTCGACTGATGATAAATACTACTTATATCTGTCAACATTAGTAGCACACACCACATGGGGAATAAGTGGAACAAAATAATAAACCTCTTTCTCTGACCAATAATTTATTAGGAAACTTTCGAAGTGAATTTAACACACAAAAAAATACTTGCGCAAAAATACCACTTACATAACAACTAGTAATAACCAAGCACGATCTGGACGCATAAATAAGTAAGTCATATCACCAGACCCGAATAGTGTAGTTTTATTTTGTTTTTTAACATTTGTATTATCATTTATACAGTTGTTGAATATAGATGATTTCGCTTGATCAGAATACCGTGATGCAGGGACTTTACTACTGTTTACACTCCCTGTAAACAATGCATCAGCTTTATTAAGTTTACGATTATTCTGATTACCATTAACACTTTGAATTAATAGTGGATTATTTTGAATATTTGATGGATTTAACGAAGGAGTAATATTGTTTAAGCATCCTCTCTGTTGTGCTAACCAACCACCGGTTAGACGTTCTTCTAAGGATAAATTTGTAGAGAATTCTTTTAATTTAATAGTTATTGTATCAAAGAAATCCGAAAGACCAGAATGACAAGTGTTTTCTATGATACTTTTTGCTCCAAAAAACACTGGTTTCTCATAAATAACTTGTGAACTAACGTGTAGTCGGCTAGTTGTACGATTTACATATAATAAACAATAACGACTAACTACATAGAAACAATTACTTAATGGTACAGCATGATTTGTAACTTTAGCATCAATGATATATCTTTTCCCAGATATGGATTCACTTGAGAGAAGAGTCTGAAATTCACAACAAAAAGTAAAACCATTTGTAAATATTTAAATTTTGCGTTAATTTATCTAAAATTGAACAAAAGAAAAGGTATCAGTTGAGTAAAAAAAACGTGAAAGAATAATACATAGTCAAATTAATGAACACTACCGACATATATATTGTTATTTATAATATCTTTAGTTAAAAAGGTAAATAATTATAATTGAAAGGAACATACAAAGAGAGTTATTAGTAGAGTTCTTTACTGTACAATAAGCAAAATACATGAACTCTAACCATAGACTATAATATTTGTATGATGTTAACTAACACCGTTGATCAATATGAATGGTCAAAACAAACTATTCTGTTAAATTAAATACACATTACAAATAATTGATGGATGTTCGCTAAAACTAACATAATCTATGCGGATATTGGTATTAGAAAACTAATCAATATTACGTACATGATTTAATTCAAAAATTCATCCATAGGCAATATAACCATAGTGAATGATAACAACTTCAAATGGTAAAGATTTAAAGAAGTGATTATAAATCATATTCTAAAGAACCAAAGGTTCTCAATCATTATCAAACCCAAAACTGCATATCTTCCTAATTGTCGATGAAGTTAAAGTCATTATACTAAGAGACTTGTTCGCAAGTATGGTTGATCTTCGCAAGGGAGGAGGCTTATAAAATATATATACAAACAGATGAAAAAACTTATAACTTTAAAAATAATGGCTAAGTTTTGACAAATAATGATTATTTTAGTAAAAAACCAACCAACAATACAATGGGATTAAACTAATACTAATACTAAATTTTTACACTGACAATAAAATGTAACTGTATATAAAATTAAAATTATTGAATTTTCACACGTATAAGATCACTTAGGTGGACTGTAACAATGAGTCAATGAAACACGACACTGCATTGTTACTTTCTTTTTTCTTTCAAATTAGTTAAATTCATGTTGAAATTGATAAAACAAATAATGAAAATCCGATTATTTGTTCCATTGTCACAAAGTGATTTTTGTGTAGTAGTAGTAGTAGTTCTCCGCCTAAAATGGTTTTATATATCCCAGAGTTTTGGTCTCTGCCAAGGACGTCCACGTGGTGAAAGTGATTTTACAAAAAGAGAAGTTGAAAAGCGAACGTCTAGGGCTTAAACTCCGCTTTTAAATATGGATAGTTCACCTGAGGGAGCTAGAGAACCATTATTCCAAGCTGACGGCGTACATAGGATCTAGATATGAAGAATGGTATACGGATCTATTTAGACCACTGGCTACTATGGTAGTGCATCTTATGAACTTGCTTAATCGCCTTGTGTATCATGATCTTGTTTCAGAGCTTATAAGATTAGTTCCAAAAGAAAACCACCCACTTCAATCTGGGCCTTAAGATATTATCTTGGAGCCCGCACATAGAAGTTTACCACGTCGTCATTAAAAGAATAAATACGAAGCATGGTAAGGTAACTGTATACACAACCAAAAAAATAGTTGCTTTCTTACGAGCACTACTTGTTATTAGTAAGTAGTATGATATTTATTTATACAAAACGGTCGAACTGTGGACTATGTTCATCTACTTTAACAACAGCTTCACGAAGGAGACTAAAATAGCAAGTTAAAAAGAGAAACCCATCGTTACAATTTTCTGTTTCTCTATAAAAATAGTTTGTCAAAGCATTTTGGAAAAAGAGTATGTCGCTTAAGTAGATAAATAGCACAATTAATTAGGGGACAATCAATAAACGACATTTTCGATTTAGCAAGAATTACTTAGCATTACTTTAAAAATTTGTCAAAACTTCGAGAAAGAAATCGTAAAGTAATTACCTGTTGTTCTACTGCCGTGCATGTTCTTGGGCCGAGTTTCTGTTTTAATGTTAGTGTATAGGTAATAGTTCTTTCAATTTTACTAGAAGTTTCTAACTGATTTAAACATTCTGAGGGACTAGACCACTTGAATATTGGCCATGGAGATTGAATCATTCCAAATGTACCACGATGTTCACTGAATCGCGAGAAGAATTCCGAATCCGTGAAAATACATTGAAATAAGGCGTTAACATTCAATGGAATGTCAGTGTTTGTATACACTCTACCTGGGTGATCGTGACCTGGACCACATGTGATAGGAGGTTCCACAGAACTTACTACAGATGTATCTGGAAGTGACGGGTCCTGAGTACTCAAGTAATTAAGTTGAATTAGTTTGAACTAGATACTTCATCATGATGGTGAGATCCGAGACGCTTTTTTCGCGTACGTTTCTTTTTCTCTTTTACAGATTTATGAGGCACTTGAAAGCTATCTGACATAACTTCATTAGGTGTAGTTCCTGATGCTAAATGACATTTAACTTCAGGGGTCGGACAACGTTTGATAGTGTTTAGTTGTTGAGACTGTGGTTCATCCCAATTGTACTGAAGTGACTCGGATCTGAAAAGGATGGAACACGTTTAAAAGGAATATCAGCATCGGATACAACTTTTAATTCATCATCCGTAGTTCCTATACGGAACATTTAGAAGAGCGATCGAGATTAACTGGTTGATCCGAATGGCACACATCTTCAAGTGAAGCCGACTTCGATCGACCAGTGAGTTGTGAAGACAGAGATGAATCGGATAAAGTTCGCGGCTGCTTGTGATGAATACAAAAAGAAAATTGGTATATACATACATATATATATACGAAAAAAATTATATGGTGATCATGATTTGTAATGAACTAATACAAATGAGTAAAAAATCTAAGTTTGAAAATTAATGATTTTCTAGTAGATTTAAAAGTGGTTTTCAAAACAAGCAAATTCTACTTGTAACAAGTTTCACATGAAACTGTGTATTTTCAACTATAGTCGTTGTCATGCTATGGGTTTAATAAATCTCACTTGTACCAGTTTTGGTGATCTTATTTCGCGTCATGGGAATTGCAAAGGTTCCTCGTTTTAC